AGGCCCACGCAGCCTGGGGCATTTGGTCTCCATCTGCATATGCATCCTCAAGCGGCTGGTGCACTTGGTCTGGAGGGTCAACATCATCCGCCTGCCAGTGAAGTGGGGGATGGCAAAATCTAGCAACATGACAAGTGCATTGGGATACCTACACCAAATTCAGGTGTATAAAATATATATTATATAGTTTGAAACAAAAAATTGTATGTATATTGATCACCCGTTGTTGGATGGGCACTCCACTGACCTCAGGATCATTCTGGATTGCAATGAAAGACTGCAGGCCTGGCCTGGGATTCCAGTGACTGTGCGCTCTTCGACCGCTTTCTAAGAGGTTGGCCACTTTTAGCATGAAGTTTGACCACTATGCTCTTCAAGATATGAATCTTCTCATCCCTGCATCTGTGCTTAAGCCAGATCAAAACAATCAATTGCCGATTGAATCATGGAATCTCACATCCAGAAGCATGTGTATAAGTGTCAAACACAGAATCTCCTTGAATTTGGCGACTTCTGCGTGATGTGCATGATGTATGCTCCCAGACACTTCAATCGGGTTGCCTCCTGGTTGGCCCAATCCTGATAGAATGTTGGAAATTCCTGTTGAGCTAGCCACATCAAGTTCAGTGTGCACCAAAAAAGGTACCCTTCGATCACTACCAAGCGTCACGAATGAGCCCCTTGCCACCCCGACGTCCATAGACTTGGGCGTGCAGGTTGTAGGTGATCGATATCAAGATCATGCAGGCCTTCAGCTGGGAGTGGCTGGCACGAGGGTGAGATGGCTTGAGAGTTTAGAATATTTTAGAATTGATTCCATGACTGTGCTTTTGTATGTCCATCCAGTGGCAATGAGCCCCTGCCTGGTGATGAAGCAAGTCAGGAACAGGTGACGTGTTCCCCACCAAAAGAAGATAATCCCGAAGAAGTTCATAATTCTCTATTGCATCCTCTTGGGTCACAGTTTGCACCTGGCGCTCCTTCCATTTGATGATGTTGCGGGCCTAAGAAGGGCATGTCGACATAGTGTAGCCAAAGGAAACGCACTACGAGCGTACATGGTGCAGGGTGAACACATGTCCTATATAGTTCTATCATGAGTTCAGCTTCGATACATCAGAGCTCATGATGTCAGCCATGTACTTCTCAGCGAATGGTCGAACTGCATCGAAAAGTTTCTGTGCAATGTCCTTGGGTGGTGATGGGTCGGGATTCATTATACACAAAGTCCCAACCACTGCAAACTCTTATTGCACACAATGTTGAGGGCAGCCAAAGGGCAGAAACCCTCACTTTGAGAGGGTGGGTAATGACCTTCTCCCCATTCTTCCACTGAATCCGCATCATACGGTTTCCAGCCTGCCTGGCCTCCTCAATCAAGTCACCATCCTCCACACCCGCCATGGCTGAGGCACTGGGCAGCCACCACCAGCGAGCAAAAATTCTTTGGAAGGGGCGCACGCAGGGTGATGGATCCAACTTCCAAATCCAAATTATGGCCATGGGAGGGGTTTGATATATTTAGGATAATTGGATTACAATATCACAAATTTCCAAACCCAATAACTTATAAGTATACTAGTACTTATACCAAATCAATTGAGATTTGTAAAAAAGCTTCTAGCTATAGTGATCAATCTCATCCGCTTGAACTCGCGACAGATTGTTTGGGGGAGGGCGCACCTCTCAGCGCAGCAGATCTCAGAAGCCCCATGGCAGCGAGATGCTGACAATACCTGTGGGTATATAAACATATGGTTTTTGACATTCTCTTCTGGCATCCTGTCAGGCCGCAAACTTTCTGACAGATATATGTAACTTCAAGCGGCTCTGTACCGGAATATTGCACTATGTTTCAGATCCCTGTCTCAGGGATCAATGTCCATGTATTGAGATCTGTGTGGATTGCACACAGTATGATCATGGATCTTACCAATTCACCACCCAATTGGACCCAACTCTTCTCCAGAATGGCCTTGAGCCCCGGGGCCATTCTGACAGGGAAATGTCCCCAAGACCAGTCTCACAACGGTCGTGGCAAAAACCATCCTCAGCATAGGATCGGAGGATCAGGGAAAGGAGGTACTGAGCGATTAAAAGGTGGTAGCCGATGGTCGAAGTAAGAACACGTCTGATAAATTCTGAGAATAACCTTTCTTTCCCACGCCCAACTTCTGCAGCCCTTTCGCTGGGCTGCAGGACCCCAGTGGCCTACCCGATCTTCACCTTCCGATGGCTGGCAGTTCATGCATTGGTGGCCGGGGCTCCGAGGGCTCCGAGGGCTCCGAGGGTGGGGCGACTGCTCGGCTCCGGACGCGGCGCGGACTCAGCTTTTCGAGCAGAAAGCGAGCCCAAGGGTCCAGGAATATCCTCATTTGACTAACCTTGGGCCTGGAAGTGGAAAAAAGGAAAAACGGAAAAGGGACTCCCAGGGTGGAGTAGGTGCATGAATTCAATTCCGGAAATTCGAAGGGTCACGGCTTGAAAGAAGGGAGGATACTTCGGTGAACCAAATGACTTGTGTCGAGACAATGTGACAAGGCCGCCGGTTTAATTGGAAAATGGAGGAACGATCACGTGCAGGACATAGATCAAAGAGAATCTGTTCGAAAAAAAACGAGATTGACTCCTCATGACGTCGGCTCTTGAAAAATGAACCGTTTGGAGGATTACATGATATTACATGATATTACAGGCACCATTCTCCTTTTGCCTCGGAGCTTCCTTCATTTCCACCGGCTCACAGACGACGGGAGCGCCCCTTCACCGGAATTCGCGTCGCCGTGACGCATCGATTTTTTCGACTTCGACCGCCCTTCCCGGATCGACCGCGGCGGCTTCGGTCGGCGTCAGATCCCCACGGTCTTTTTCCTCGGCGCCATCAGCTCGATGCAGTTCATCCAGCGTTAGGCGCGCGGAAGGCGACGCGAAGCGGTTTCACGGACGCGGACCGGTTTCACAAGCCGGCCTCAAGATGGCCAACGGTGAAGCCCGGTGCGGCGGGTCGCGATGGTTGTGGAATGATGGGAAGATGAGGACGTACTTCGGCTCAGCGGGCCAAACACGTTTGCAAAGGGAGCCCGGTCCAGGACCATCCTGAGGATGGTCTTGGAGGTGAAAGTGCTTCCAAAGAATGGTCTTGGGGGGGTCAAAGGACATCCGATTCGGATGACCCTGGAGACCCTTTTGGAAGCAGCTCCGACGCAGCTGGTTTGTCTGGGTTTTCAACGGAACGATTTGGCTGGTTTGTTTTGGGGGATGCATTTTGTTCATGTTCCCATATAGGCTCAAAGTACCCCATGAGGAGTGTATTGGAGGTGAGTTCGTACTTCCAGAGAATGGCCTTGGCATCAAAGGACATCCGAGCAACGGATGGTGGACCCTTAGGGGTTGGAGGCCTCGCTAGTGTAGGGTAGAGCGAAGGGATGACTGATCTGAGTTTATACCAGGAGTCACAATGGGGTAGTGTTTGGTCCCTAAGTGAGTGGATAATGGGCACCCCTCATCTCCAATAGGCACCCCTTTGTGACTCCTGGTTATAGTAACTATAGCGTTAACTATCGTTATTTTGTCTGGTTTTCACCAAGTTACTACACCGCTCCAGGATCTCACCCTGCGATCCGCATCACCAGGTGCTGGTCTCGTGTCTCGTGTCGACGGTCGACCTCGGGGTGCTGAAACCCAGACGAGTGGGACTGGAATAGTTGACACAATTTATATACAAGCTTCTTCAAAGTGACCCGTTACAATTTCAGTGACCCTTAGGAGGCTTAAGTGACCTCAAACCAGGTGATCAAGTACGGTTTTCTTGGAAGAACCAGGTATACATGCACCATAATTTACCCATGAAAATGACTATCCCTAAGAATCCTTCGGGCTCTCCATGGCAGGGGTCGGACCCGACACCGAGTTACGCAGGGGTCGGACGGGCCCTCAGTAAACCCTATCCCCTGGGTATCTGTTTGAGGGCCTGGATTCTTAGGTAGGGCCCAGACGCTCCAAACAGCCCTTGGTCCCTCAAAACCTAGGGATTTGAGACCCCAGACCCCTCCATGAGGGTCCGACCCTTCCATATGAGAGCCCATGAGCGTCTGGGGGGTAACTATTCCAGTTCCATCCGTCGTGTCAAACCGTTGTTTGTCTCTTCCAGGCTGCGACAGCACCGGACTTTTTTGACCCTCAAGTTCTGCGCACACCGCGCACGGCATCTCATGGAAAAGAGGCGTTTCACAGGTAGACCTGGGTTGGAGGGAGAGGTAAATTGTGATGACATTGTTGGCGGAATAGATTCTCAAAATCTTCGGTCTGCGGAGCCACGATTGCTGAAAGAAACATGCGGAGGCGGCGGAAGTATCACTACAAGCCTGTGCCAAGCGTAACTTTTAAACCTCAAATTACTTCAGAGTCTTCAAGATCATACACAAACCGAGGCGTTTGGCGTCTGAACTGCACCTGTAAACAACTCAGTCTCAGAAGAACTCGGGCTACTTCCCAATCCAATCCGCAGAGAGAAGCCGCTCCTTCATCCAATCAGACAAAGAGCTCCTTTACATTCCTGTACATTCCTTCACACAGATCACACCGATCCAGCACAGCATCCGTCGAGGTTGACCAACAGCTTTCCACCGAACTCTTCAGTACTGGCACTCCAGAGAGCACTCCCTCTTGACATCTCATCTCCCCGATGCAGCTGCTTCCGCGCCGTTGATGTTGCAGCTCCGGCGCGTGGTTTTGGTGGACGTGGCAGCTCGACGTGGAGTGCGGACAGGTGGGGAGACGGCCGGAGCGAAGGGTTGAGGGTTCATGACCTAAGGAGTTGGGGAAGTTGGTTGGGTTGACTCAGTGGACGACGTCGCAAGCTTCAGGTGAAAGGAGGCTCTCATGTTCGTGCAGAGATGCCTTGCAGAACGAAGGGGAGGTATGTAGACCTCCCATGCGCGGGTGACCACGGGAGACCACCATGCGACCCACACCCAAAAACATGCGAAACAGAACGGACCATGTGCCATTTCTTCGTGAACGAGGTGAGGACACGTGAGGACCTCATCTTCTTGAAACGAGGTCAGACTTCTGAAGATGAGATCGTCCACCGCTCGGGACAAACTCGTTGGTTCGAAAGGATGCAGACTTGCAACAAGGTCGACTTGGAACATGTGTTCAAACAGTTTCTCCAAATGTGTTCTATAAAACGCATCGTTTTCCTTTGTGTTCCTTAGTATCAATTAATACAAGTCCAGGTCACGTGCCGGGCGTTGTTCACCTGGTCTGAGAGGCTGACCTCACCGGATCCAAAACGGAAAACCGTGGGCCCGGCCATAGAGGCTTCGACGATTTCGAAGGAGGGTCTGTAAGACAGACCGAAAAAAGGCTAGGGCAATTCTTGATATATATTTATTTAAGATTAAGATATAAACCATGACCTAACCATGATGTCTCATCCTTCAATTACATGCAGTTCTCTTGCAGCTAGAGGGTGTTCTTGAACTCACCGCATCGGTCTCGGCCCCTTCGCAGCTCGGACCTGGGTGGCGCGACCCCCGGGCGCATCGAAAGCAGCGGCGGGGGACGCCCAGCGGCGACGCGACGCGCGACGCGACGCGCTCGACAGAGCAGCGGAGGAAGTGCGTGCGGTGTGGCCGAACGTGGTTTGGGATCGTCATTGGAAGCAAAGGAGCTAGAAGGAAGGAGTGATGGGCCGTTTGGGGAGGGTGTCTTTCTTGGAGGCTTTGGGGAGAGTTTTGGTGTTTTGGTGTGTCAATAGGTGATCCACCGTCCATGCCGATGTTCTTCTGAGCCAGAAGCTGCACCGCTTTGCACCTCGTGTGGGGCACCCACCCACCAGTCCGTAACGGAGCTGAGGCACCCGCGGACACCGCCGCCGACGACGCGCCCGTGCGGGCGCTGCGGAGGAGTGCTGGAGGAGGCGGACGGGCGCAGCGGCCGCGGCGGATTTGGGAGGGTTTTGTGGAGCTGGAGGAGGAGGCTTATGATGCTTATGTGTTGGCTTATCCATCAGTATTTGGATGGTGTTTTGGTTGGTTGGCTTATAAGGTGTTTTTGAGTTCAAGATGTCTCTCAGTTGCTTGGTGGTTTCGACCATCTTCTTTGGTCGACAGTTGGGAAGGCTTCCCTGCGGCCGGAATCCGGAGAATCAGAAGCACCTGCAACACTTTGACTGTTCTGTCCATCGGCGATTGGTCCCTTAGCTCCGTCGTAGCGCGCGGTAATTCATTCCACTCCACCCTTTCGTAACACGTTTTCTCAGCTGAAGGTTCCAACCCCTTTTTGCTTTTTCTGTGGACTTGCATTGCTCATTGACCAAGCAAGTCCTGTTTATCGCAATATGTTACATTCTACTAAAAATGACCCCTGGCGCGAGCCGTTCAATTCTGCATTGAAAGATGATTTCCTCTCCAGGTTGAATCCATGAAGAGAACAAGGTGCAATAACATAACCCTATCTATAGGCTTCCAACCATCATTGTTTCACTCAGGATTTTACACTATAACACCAGGCCCCCCCTTCTTTTGTGCTCTTGGAAGGCTAGGGTAAGTAGTGACCATCGTGATATAGTGGCTACTAAGCTCAGGACGGAGAAGGAAGGTGTTTCCGCCAAGAATGCAGGTAAAAAAGTGTAGTTCCACCAACAAGGCTTTCATCCTCCCGTATGTAGAGGCTCTTCACCTCTTCCCATGCCTGGCAGATCCTCATCACTCGGCAGGTCTCCCGCGGAAGGCTTATGAGATCCATCGCCAGGCGGGGTTGACGTGAAACATGGTGAAACCCGGAGAAGCAGTGACTGGCAAAGCACACGACTGGAGACGCCAGGGCAAACAGGTCCAAACAGGAGCCCCGTTCGTAGCTTCTTGTTCCTAATAGCTTCTTAAGTCCTAGTAGTAAGGCCAGGAACCCCTAGTAGCGTGCTTGCTCCTAGTAGCAATGCCAGGAGCCCCAAGTAGCTTCTTTTGGTTCTCCCAAAAACCCCTTGGGGATCTTGGGGGGGGTCTCCCTGCGGGTCCCCTCAGGAGAGACCTCGCTGGCGTTGGACGGAGATCCGTGGAGAGAAGATCTACTACAGGCGCTTGGCCGCCCAAGCCCCGCTTGGCCGCCCAAATGTGCGGCGGGTTCTGTGTTCTTGCAGATGTGGTGTTTTGGGGAGGCGTGGTGTTTTACGCATGCTTCATAGTTATAGCCGCTAAAGGACATGTCGAATGCAGCACATTCTGTCTTGGACACCGCTTCTGGTGCCCCCAACACTTCCACACTGCACCAGCTTTTCATCGGCTTAGATTTTCTCGCTTTCCTGCTTTCCTGCACATGCCAGTGCCAGGCACTGGAAGTATGAAAACCGAGTGCCCACGGAAGCTTGGCTGGAAGGCGGCCTTCCCAAAGTGTCCGGCCGCTCAGTCCGACGAGTCGGGTCGATTCCGACACTCGGGATGTCGCTTGGGAACGATCCGGAGACGGCTGGGATTGGCTGAACGAACGGAAGCAGCCAATCTTAGCTCATACTAATTCCCTATATGAGATCAGTTTGACCTCATGAAATACTGGAGTTGGTCAGGCAACAATAATAATACTCAAGGATGTAAAGGACCAGATTTGACTGGGTCAGACGGTCAGACTTGTCAGGCTTAGATGGGTGGTCTTCAAGCACTGTTTTGAGCATGACCGAGGCCCAAGAAACTGGGGCTTACAGCCCAAGAGGCGAACTTGCGCAGTGCGAGCAGCAGTGAGCAGTGGATGGTGGGATGGTGGTTCTCCAGAGGTTTGAAATGAAGAGCCATGGAGTGGGGAGGTGGAGTTCAAAAGAGATCCGTCTGCCAGCACCCGACGAAGCCGCCGCCAGGTCACCACCTGCCACCGAACGACTTGACCTTTCAGCCCCCCGGAAAACAGAGACCGAGTAGTAGTTCGAGTCGGGTGCTGGTAGAAGTGAGTTTGAACTCCATAAATGGTAGGAAGTGCAACCTAGCAAGATATGTCAAGTAATTATATACCTAGCATAGTACCTAGCATAGCAGATGAGTCTTATAGCATATACACCTAGCATAATACATACCTATAGCACTTATATATGCATGTATATTATATATGCAATTCATACACTCATAGCCTGTGCATTCGAACTGCAGAGTTCGAACCGATTCTTCCCCGGTGAGTTCCTTTCTCGGCAGTCGAGTCGGGGTCGTGTCCTCATGGAGATATCTTAGAGTCGAGATGTTCTACGACCAATGCAGAAACTCGTTGAATCGATGTCCAACGAAGGAAACTGCGATCTGCCCCAACTCTGCCAAGTGTTTTTTAGGTCTATATCACACGCATCACATATGGATCAATGCAGCTGTGTCGCAAAATGTCTTCATTTATCAAGACATCGTGTCAGACTGCCCTTGCCAGGAAGTTGCAAAGGTCTAGACGACAAAACAGTGTTTTAAAGTCACAGTGATGTCTCTGTCTCTTGGGGGGGTGAACAAAAAAAGCATGAACAAAACCCAACAAAGAGGGTGACAGAGACATCAAAGAGACAGAACGTAAACCCATCACAGAGACATCACTTAACACATTGGACATCTTCCAGGCCCCCGTTTCGGGGTGTCTAATGATAGCTCCTTAGAGTTGATTCAGGGTCACTAACCACCCCATGGCCAGGGGGGCCCTGTCTTAAGGGGTGTTTCGTTTGTTTTATTGGTTAAGCGGTCCTTTTCAGTGCGTCGCCGGTCGCGCAGGCGGAACGTGCTCGCCACACGGCAAGAACGAAGGGCCTCACAGCGGAGCAGCTGAGGCGGAGCTGGGGGAGCAGCGCGCAGCGTTTGGTTTTGGCGTTGGTTCTTTTCACCAAGAAGAGGATGTTCAACCATGTTCCACTAGATACATCTATATGGATTACAAAAGGCTGCCCCCCCAAAAAAAAATCAAAACACAAATCAGACCCCTAAAAGCCGCTACTAAACTACCAACATTGTCGATTTTGGTGGATTTGTGTTCATCAGCTTCCCAAAAAAAGTCGTTCAAAATCGACCATGTTGCTGACCCTGGTTCCTGGCAAAACGCTGCGCATGCCACGCAATCTGCACTGAATGTTTAGTTCAAAAAGACTGACCCTATTTTGGACACCCCCCATTAGAGGGACCCCTTATTAAAGAAGAACAAACAACGCACCCGAGTTTCTTTTTACAGGGGGACCCGGGTTTGTTTTTCTGTAGGTGGAAGGGATTATAAATGTTGTGGTTACAGTGACAGTGGGTAGATGGGGAGCAACAATGGGGCGTTCAGAAATACATGTGCTCAGATGAATCAGGATGAATCATGATAAATCTGCATTTGTTGTCGACTTAGTAGAAACATGTAGGACAATGGTCCAATGGTGGATGATGGGTTGAAGTCTTCCCATGGATTCGTGTGGCGACACCACCACGGCATTCAATGGAATTCACAGGGATTGGTCTAACTTCAAGTGGGTGGCAGATGGTCACAGGGTCTATTTTCGTTCACAGCCCACTGGTAGAAGAGCGACGTGCTGACGAGGCAGTATAGAAGACGAAACCTACCTGGACCTGAAAAAAGGGGTGTCCTGGAGTCCTGGAGGTCCCTGATCGTGGGCTGGGGCGAAACCAGCCAGGTGATTCCTTTGAAGGTAGACATGCGAACCTCCCGCCATCGCAACCTTCGGATGGGGATGTGACGAGGCCTCACCCACCTTAACTGCCGTACTTTCTTAAGGCCTTTGACCTCGGAACCTGCGTTACAGTGCCGTATACCATTTGTGTTCTTGGCAGGTCGATTGTCCTGAAAGCAGAGACAAGCGAAGAAGTGGAAGAAAAGGAGCGAAGAAAAGGTCGACGTCATGCCGCCCCATTGGCCCCCCCTGGCACCACCCCAATGTATGTAAATATGCCGTACATGGAGTGTTTGGGATTGATTTGTGTTGATTCCCTTCACATCCCCACCTAGGACCTACTGTGCTGTTGATTCCTTCGGAGTAATCCTTGAGGTTCGATTGATGGCACCGTCGCGACCGGTCGATCGTGACCGGTCAGCAAGGCGGTCGTCGCAATGCGAGCGGGTGTCGGTCTGGCCATGTCGAGCGAGCTTGAGCTCCACACCCATCCTCCGACTGCGTCCTCGACTGGGTATAGGGCCCGTCATCACCAAAAGGGATGACCTGATGAAAAAGCACAGTCTAGCCAGGCACTGGTGATCTCACCAGTTCACTCCGCCAGAGAAAGACAAAACGGAGCGGATTGAAGACCCACAACCACATGATTTGGCATCTACTCAGACCCCGTTGTTTTCGAAGAAGTCATCAGTTTGACGGAGCACCGTGAGAGACAGATAGACTGAACACCGGCTGCATCGACTCTTTATATGTTGTTTTGTCAATATTTTATTGAACACCTGTGACGGTATGACTGCCTTGCTCAAGCAGCAGCAGCAGCCTGCTAGGGAAGGCCACTTGGACCATTAAAGAAGAAGCATCACCAGGGATTCATTCAATAGATTCCCTTTCAACCTCATACAAAGAGTTCCATTGCAACAACTGTAAGTTCCCATGTTTGTCAAGTCTCCTCCAACAATTTGGATCCAGTTTCTTCACATCTTTGTCCATCGGGTTGGTTTCCCGGGCCTTCGTTTCACCTTCTACTACACGTGGCGTGGAGGCGTTGGCTCCGAACGAAGGAACTTGCACCCCTTAGAAGCCCACAATCTTTGGAGTTAATAGCGATGGCCTCCACCCTACTACCGATGGCCTCCAACCTAAGAGCGATGGCCTCCAACCTAGTAGCAATGGCCTCCGACCTAAGAGCGA